CTACCATCTCCAATGTGGGGGTTGGGGTGATGGTTCTGGGTGCTCTGGGGTAATTACAATGATTACTGCCAACGGAGACAGGCAAATAGGTGTCTTGTTTCTTTCTTTAATTGTTTCTTAGATTGAAGTATAGCTTAGTGTGTTGGTCGCTGTGACAGAATGCCTGAGAAACTCAACCTAAGAGTTGAAGAAAGATTTGATTTAACTCAAGGTTATTACAAATGCCTACTACTGTGTCCAGCTTTTTTTTTTTCATGAGTTCTTTGGATTAAACTCAAACCCTCATGAGTGCAAGGCAAGTACTTTACTGACTGATGCCTGTGCAACCCAACCCAGCCCTCTTTGAGACAGGATCTCATGTAGCCCAGGCTAGCTTCAAAGTATGTAGTCAAGAATGACCTGGAAGCGATCCTCCTGCCTCAGCCTCATAAATGCTGGGATTAAGGACATGTGCCATCGTACCTGGTTTTATGCAATGACTGGGATCAAACAGAGGGTTACATATAGGCTAAGCAAGCACCCTACAAATTGAGCTACAGCCTGAGCCCTCTTTATCAAAGGCCTTTGATTGATTAAATTAGTACCCTCATGATCCAGTCACCTCTTATAACAGTAGGGAACCAAGCATCCAACATGAGAGCCTTGTGGGGAGGGCTATGTCATATACACATGATACCAGATAGGTTGATGCCCAAACGGATTCCCGAGTGTCTGGACCTCGCCACCATTGAACCAGCACTCAGAGGGAGGTTTGTCCATCCCACCTCCCTGGAACATTCTGGTATTCCCTTCCCAGTTACTAATACCCTGTCTACCCAAGGCAGTCACTGCCAAGTCTCTGTCACTACAAGGTTAGCTTTTGCAGTTCTGAATTTTGAACAAATGAAATCATGCATTATAGACACTTTCGTGTCTAGGTCCTGTCAAATCGTGCCTGGGAGGTTCAGCAGCGTTGGCCTGGCTATCGCTCATTTCCTTCACTTAGGCTGATGTCGCACTGTGTAAAAACACCGGTGGGGGCTGGGGAGATGGCTCAGTGGGTTAAAACACGTGCCGTGAAAGCCTGACATCTTGAGTTGGATCCTTAGAGCCGTGGAGAACTGGAGCACAGTAATGGAAGCAGCTGTAATACCAACACACCCTCCCTGAGAGATTGGAAGTAGCAACGGGAGAGCCACCAGAGGCTCCCCGGCCAGCAAGCCTGCAGCATGTAGTTGAGCCAACCTGCCTTTTGCTTGTTTTGTCTTTGTTTTTGTCTTAAGACAGAGTCTTCTTGTGAAGCTCTGGCTGGCACAGAACTTGCTATGTAGACCAGGTTGGCCTTGAACTCACAAAGCTCCACCTGTTTCTGCCTCTCCATCTTGTATACCAGCACATGTCACCAAACCGGGTTCACCTCTACCACTCTTGACAGGCGCGTGGGTTGCTTCGGAGTTTGCATTATCAGAAGGAAAAGCCACTCAGAAGGCTCTCTTTTTTTAAACGTTTATTTGTGGTTATGCGTATGTGTGTATAGGGGGCTGATATGTATGTGTACAAGTGTGCTGGGAACTGGACTCAGGTCCTCTGCAAGAGTAATCCATGTTCTTCACCACTGAGCCATCTCCCCAGCCAACCCCTTGGCGGATTCTCAGACCTGTCGTGGGATGGCCATGGTGCTCACTCCTACAAGGGGAACTAGAACATCATGGGCACAGGCATGTTTTACATTCATAGGTATGGCTCAAATCTCTTCCAGTGTACTCGACCATGTTAGGGTAGGATCGCCTTAGTAGCTAATATCAGCAGAGGGAGGTGGGCAATCTTAATGATGTCATCCGCGATGGCTGCTCCTTGCCCTTCTCCAGTGAAGAAGCTATAGGCCCCACCTGTGTCTGTTGGCCAGCCCCCCCCCCCCGCCGCCCCTCAGGCTTGCTGTGCCCCCCCCCCCCCCCGCGTAGGCAGCTTTGTGGCTCTTTTCCATGATTCCTTATCAGTCACCAGAGCTTCTGTCATTACAACACTGCCTTGCTGTGGGCAAGTCACAGCGTCCAAGATTATAGCTTATCTTCCATTGAAGCCTGCTCAACCGATGTCTTCCTTGTCAAGAGGCACCCCAGGCTTCCTGCAGATATCCATGCAGCCTTCTGGTCTTATCAGCAACCGGCATGCATGGCATCTCTTGGTAGTTTGTTGCTTGATGAGGTTTCCCGGGGACCCGGGCCAAAGATGTCTATCTCTTCCATGTATGGTGATGTTCATGCGTTTTTATGGCATGGTGACAGTGACAAGGCCCAGTCCCTGGAGTGCCGTGTGCATTTTATACAGACACTGTGCGCTGATTACAAAATCAATAGCCAGTTGAAAAAAAAAAAACCTCAGAGATCATCAATCCACTTTCCTCCTACAAATGGGGAAACAGGCTCAGAGTGGTGTCTCAAACTGTGGGAAGGCACACAGCTTCTCTTTTAGCTGCTCAGCCTGGGTTCGTTCCTCTGTGCCAGACACACACTCAGGATGGCCACCCGGACACTGCTTGTAGAAGCTGGACTTGGTAAGCATGGCCAGTGTCATGCCAAGTGGCTGCACCACAGGTTTTCATTCTATCTGGTGTTGATGGCATGTGCCTGTCACCCCAGCACTTAGAAGGTGGCAGGAGGATCGGGAATTCAAGTTCATCCTGACCACAGAGTGTACTGGAAACCAGCCTGGGCTTGATAAGCCCCTGTTTCAAATTGTTTCTTCAGCTGCTGGCTGGTCGCCTTTTGGGACAGTGCTCTGGTTAGAACATGTTTGTCCCAGCTGTGTGGATGATGGACACTCTTTTGGAACACATGGCAATTCGACTTTTCATTCATCACAAGTTGGCTGCACCCCCATCTCAGAGACGGGCAAAGTAAGGCCCAGACACCACTGCTGTTCTTCCTCAGTGACACGCAGTGTGAGACTCAGCTCCGGTCCCTAGCATGGGTCTTCTTTGCTCTTTGAAGGGTAAGCACTGCTCTTCCACGGAGCCCCCTAGGGTCCCCCCTGCAACCGCTACAGCATTCCTCTCCCAGGAACACCCACCCTTCTCTCCACAGGCACCCTTGTGAATTCACGCCTCAACACGGGGCCTTGAGTAGGAACCAAGTTGAGGCCTTACGGACCATTATCCCGAACCCGACAGTCAGTCTGATGTGTGTACACTCTGGATACGGGATGCTGGAAGGCGCCAGAGGGGATGCTTCCCACTGGTCCTTTGTATCAAATCTGCTCCCCCTAACCCCTGGACTCTCAGTCTCGAGCAAGCAGCTGTGAAGCCGGGGCCTCCCCTGCTTCCCAGAGCCCAGGCACTGGCAGGGGGTGGGGGTGTTGTGTTAGGAGGATGGGACTGACTTTAGTCAGTTTCCCCCGTGACCCTCTAGCCACACCCTTGACTTATACCGCTGGCTACGGGGTAGAAAGGGATCCACAGTCTTTGAGGGCTTCTAGCCTCCCATTAAAACGTCTGTCCCTTGGAGGAGAAGCTCTGCGGGACTTGGGGGCGACATGAACGAATGATCTGGTGTGGGATGGAGCGTTGCTGAAGCGTTGTCTCTAAAAGCCAAGGCTGAAGGAAGGGTCTTGGGCGAGAGAGCCCTTGTTTAATGGGTAGGACTGGAATCCGGCGCCACAGGTGTAACCACCAGGCGGTCATGCAGCATGCCATTGACCCTAGTGCTTGCTTGAACGGCCGGAGAGAGGAATCCCTGGAGCAGATTTGCTATCTTAGTCAGCCGTCTGAGAAAGATCTGGATTCACTCGGGAGCCCCTGGCTCCATGAGTAAGATGGAGAATGACCAAGTCTTCCTTGGTCATTCTCCAACCACCAACTCCTACCACCAACTTCAAACCTCCACACACGTGTGCACACATGTTCACATACGCAGTCACACACACAAACACCACACGTGCATACGTATTCAAAATGAAATGGGAAAAGCAGAAGCTGGAGAGGATGGGGGTGGCTGGTGTGTGGGCGTGTGATTTGCGAGGCACATGTGTGCTCTCAAGAGGAACCGAGAGGGGCAGCCAGGCAAAGACCAGGTTTAGGACGTTTGGCCTCAGCCTGTTTCTAGGGGGAACCCGAGAGCCCGAGCAGCCACGATAACCCCTCTCCCTGAGTGTGTGCTCGTGCATGAGTGTGCTCTCAAGAGTATGCATGGATGCGGTGTGTATGGATGCTGGGGCATTTGGGTCACCTGAGTGCTGTCTCTGCCGTTAGTTGCGGAGGGGGATGGGCACAGCTGTCATATTGTAGACCTGGGAAGATCTAGAGCCACCAAGACAGGAAAGCCAAGCTGCCAGAGCAATTGGCTACACAGCCTGCAGTATTATTGAACTTGGGGGTTACAACCTGTGACCCAAGTCATGTCTGGCCACTGTCCTCAATAAGCCAATTAAAAGAGACACTAGTAGGATGCAGAGAAAGATTTACTCAATGTGGCCACACTGGGAAGAGGGACAGAGATTGAGGGCACCCCAAAGTCCACCTTTGGGGGTCCTGAAATGAGATCAATGACATGCACATCTAGGCAGTCGCTGTAAAGGTGCAGCCCCGCCCACCATTGACCCCCCATCCTCTGGCCTTCCGTCTCTTCCTGTGTTGTTGGAACTGTGTGAAATCTCTTGCCGGGGACAAGTTCCTCTTCTGTCTGCCCCTTTTCCTTCTCCATGCTATTCCTGGGGAAATTTCCCATCCTTCTAGGTCCTTGTTTTAACAGTCTGAAAGGATAGATCGGGAGACACAGGGTCTCTTCAGAATTCTTCATTTCTCCCGTGCCTGTGACAGCAGGGTATGCAGAACACCAGCCACCCCATGCCACTACGCTTGTCCCTCACTGAAAAGCAAATATGGCACCATCTCTCTCCCAAATCCTGAGGTCTCCTGATCCTGACCAGTGGGGGTGACATCTGCCCCCCACCCAGACATACGGAGAGGCAGCCCTAGCCCTGAGCTCTGCGAGTCTCTCCTAATCCTCCCCGTCCTCTCTCCACAGCTCCAGCCCAGGCCCAGATTGTGCACGCGGGGCAGGCCTGTGTGGTAAAGGAGGACAACATTAGCGAGAGAGTCTACACCATCCGGGAGAGCGACACCCTGGTGCTGCAGTGCCTGGTCTCTGGGCACCCTCGGCCCCAGGTGAGCTGGGCCTTGACCTTGCTGGGCTCCCATCCTGCCCACGCTCGGTGGCCTGGGATCAGGGTTTCAGAGGGAAGCAGGAGGTGAGGAGCTTCGTACACTCCACAGGGCAAGCAACAGGGCAGGCCAAGGAAGACTGGGGCAGGACTGGCCTGGAGAGCAGCTCTTTAGAGAAGTAAGCGCTGCATGGGCTCTGGGTGCCATCACCCCAAAACATTGACAGCTGAGAGGAAAGACGGAACTCCAGCTGTTCCGTTCCACTCCATCCCCCTGTGGAACACACACACATCTCTACACACACCCTCTAGGAATGCTGGCGGGCAGACCATATGCCAAGGAGGCCCCTTGCCCAGTGTTTTCTCTCTCTCTCTCTCTCTCTCTCTCTCTCTCTCTCTCTCTCTCTCTCTCTGTCTCTCTCTCTCTCTCTCTCTCTTTCTCTCTGTCTGTCTGTCTCTGTCTCTGTCTCTCTGTCTCTGTCTCTGTCTCTCTCTCTCTCTCTGGCTCCTCCCAAGGCCCCATTTTACAGCTAAGAGAAAGCGAGGACCTGGGAGGCTGGGCAAACTCCCAAGGTCCCACAGCGCTTCTGAAAACAGAAGCAGAATCCGAGTCTAGAAGCCGTACCCTCTGTGGCTTGGCACACTGCCCTCCTCTTTGGGTTAGGAACTGCACGGATGATATGGGCAGCACTTCAGGCTTTTGGCAGGCCAGAGCGAACTCTGGAGGTTCAAAGACACAAGGCAATTAGAAAGGGGACAGAAGACAAGTGTCTGGAAAATGCCAGATGAGCTTTGCCATAGATCAAGCGCTCGGGTTCCGGCAGGAGGTGGTAGCTGGCTGTTGCTGAGGGCTGATGGAGGAGGCAGGTGGGGAGGAGGGCTGGAAGAACCGGCTGCCTGGCGAGCTGCTGTGACCTTTAATACTTGAATAGCAGCAACAAAGGTGGCAATTGGATTCTAGGAAGGACGTTGAAATACAGAATCCTTTTTTTTTCCCCCTGATAATTTGGGGTAACGGAGACAGCTTTCATAGCTCTGGCATGGGATGAGCAGATGCGCAAGGAAACCCCTAAAGGTTTCTTCCGTCTAAAGCCACCACCAAGGCTCGCTCCTGCTCGACGGTCTGTTTGGCACTGACAACAGTGCAGCTGCATTTCTGTGGAACTTTGTGTCACGTGTGACGATGACAGCAGGGATGTATGTGGCTGGTGAGGCCAGTGAGGAAGCTCTATGCTGATTATCTGTGCCTGTGTCCCATACATGGCCACTGATGGCCACGGCTAGGTAACAGGGTCACACGTGACCCAGACAGGCCTCAGACTTGGCACGTTCACAAGGATAACTTTGAACTTCTGACCTTCCTGCAGGCATTGCAGACCTAAGTTGCCACACCCAGTTCGTGCGGTGCTGGGGACGGAACCCAGGCTTTGGTGCACTCTGAACATGCTGGGCAAGCTCCCCCTGCCTTCTTGTTTTCATTAATGGCTGCATTGCTTGCCCCGCCAGACAAGCTCACATATCTGGCTTTGCCCTGTGTCCCTGACAGTTGGCCAGACTGTGAATTTTCGTGTCTTATGTGGGCCTCCCCTTTATTACCCTTCTAGTCAGATCTTCAGCCCTGCCCCTGGACTGCTCTCCCAGGCTCTCTGCTTCTCCCCTACTTTCATTCCATTGGAACGAACACCCCCAAGTCTGCTCCATTACCCGTCTCCCCCCAACTTAGCAATAACCAGTGGCTCCCCATTGTTCACCAGCTTTGCTCACATTCCTGGGGTACAACTGGAGACTTTTTGTATCCTGGCTCTGCTTGCCCTACCCACCCGTGTCCCAGCTATGTGGGCCACCCGTCGCTCTCCAGGCACGCCCTATTTATCCTGCTCTGTCACTGCGGCGTCCTCCTTACAGTGACACTGAGCATCTATCATGTCCCAAACACAGCGGACGGGTGTCAAGGATGCAGCTGGGGCAGCTACCCAGCGGGGAGCAAGGTGAGAGCCTCGAGGCCCTCGCCAACCGAGGTCAGGGTGTAGGGGTGACCAGACAGAGTTCATCAGTTCAGAGAAGCAAGACGTGGGCATGCTAGGGTCTGCGACTCAGAGGGAGGGGAAGCAGCAAACCCAGGGTTTTTGTTGCCACTCAAGCAACCAGTTTCTTGAGGACAAGTTGTTGTTGGGGGGGGGAGGTAAGAGCGGCTTAGAGAGCCAGCAAGCTGCCAAAGATGGAGGGAGGTAGCTTAGCAAATGGATATAACTCACCCTAGCTGGGTCCCATCCCCAGCACTGCAAAATAAGGTGTGGTGGTGCACATGGAGAATCCCAGAGCTTTGCAGGTGGAGTCCGGAGGCTCTGGAGTTCAAAGTCACATATCAAGTTCAAGGCCACCTGGGCCTGTACCTGAGAACCTGTTTCGAAAATCGGAAGAGGCTCTCCCTGGGTGGTGGGTGCCTGGCTTATGTAGGGAGCCGTGGTTGAGGTGTGGAACAGATGGGAGGCATGTAGTTTGGGTCCTCAGGGTGATCACAGACTTAGGGTACTCTGCCTTTCTGATGTCTGGGTTCTCTTCTCTGTGGGCCCCTGGAGTAGACGGGTTCTTTAAGTCTAAGGGAATGCTGTGAACGAGAAAGACTTCTGTTCTTTGTGCTTTGGGCTTGCTTTCCAAGGAATAATTAATCCTGTAGCTAATTACTACAATACAAAAGTCTCCTCTGGGAACAAGGAGAGAGTGGAAAGCCACTTTCCCCCAGAATCTGGGAGAAACAGAGAAAGCAACCGAAGAACATTTGCTGGGGGCAGGCAGTTTTAAAGCTGTTAGATGTCAGCTATGAGACGGCTGGTGGGACACGCTGCATGTGGCCCAGCGGTGTGACCTCCCTCCCAAATCAGTGGGATTTTAAGTCAACTAAGAACAAATGAATCCGGAGGGGCTTTAAAAAGGATTCGCCCATCCCCACACCCCCGCCCGGGTACCATCGGCAATGAGCAGAAGCTGAGGAGCCCGGGTTTGCACACACCTCAGGAGGAGGCGTGTCCATATGCACAGGCCGAGTTAGGCCTGAGGCCCACGGGCGGCAGTGTTTCCATTGCTGTGACAAAATGCCTGAGAAAGTAAACTTTTTATCTCAGGGCTTCAAAGGTCTCCCAAACCACGCCCCTACTGTGACAAACTTCTCCAAATAAGTGCCCACGTCCCACCTCCTACAAGCTCCGTGCCATCAAATCTGAACCCATCGATAACCCACCTCCCCAAAGCCCACTGGCTAGCAACAAAGCCTTGAACACACAAACCTTCTGGGCACGTGCATATCCAAACCACAGCAAGGCTACAAGTCCAGCCGGGGCTAAGAGCTGAAATGGACCCACAGCAAGAGCTTCTGCCTATGAAGGGGACCAGAAGCTGTTCCCAGAGTCACAGCAGGGTGCAGCACCTGGGGGAAGCAGAACCCTACTGTGTCCTCGATCAGTTTGACAAGGTAAAGACAAACAGAAATCATAGGAATAAAAGCAGTACTCTTTCTTTAAAGATGGCCTCCATCCATCAGAGATAGCTAAAGAGAAACTTAGTAAATCGGGTAACAGATCTGAGGACGTTAACCACAACTCTGGGGAAGCAACAGAAATTATGAAAGAGAGGTTTGAGAATGGAGCTCAGTTAGTAGCGTGCCTAGGTGACCCCAGGGTTTGACCCCAGCACTGCACTGAGGGACATGGTGCTGCACTCATGTGACACCAGCCACTGTGGAGGGGGAGGCAGAAGAATCAGGAGTTCAAAGTTATCTGTTCACATAGCATTTGAACCCAACCTGAGATAAGACAAAGAGAAAGAAAGAAAGAAAGAAAGAAAGAAAGAAAGAAAGAAAGAAAGAAAGAAGGGAGGAAGGGAGGAAGGAAGGAAGGGAGGGAGGAAGGGAGGAAGGGAGGAAGGGAGGAAGGGAGGAAGGAAGGAAGGAAGGAAGGAAGAGAATAACCATCTATAACACTCTAGTTCCAGTGGGTCCCTCCACCCTCTTCTGGCCTCCAAAGGAGGCACATTGTATACAGAAACAAATGAGATGAAACAAAACAAAACAAAAAACCCTACCCAAACCAAAATCCAAGTTTTGGATAGTATGTTAAAATCCACAGACAAATCAAGGCAAAACCACAGAGCATCAGCGGCTAACCGAGAGTACTATCAATAATAGAAATTGTTGAGTGGCTACCGTATTCGAGGCACTGCCTTTAAGTGCTTCCCTTCCTAAGCCTCATAACTTGCAAAGTAGGCATTACGCTATATTAGTTATTGTTGACTGGCGAATACTTCAAAGTGCAGGGGCTTGGATCCTGGAACCCTTCCTGCCTCCCAGCGCCAGTGGCAGGGATCCAGCAGCAGGCTGAGTCTGCTGCAGGGAGGGGCTCTCACAAGGCTGCTGCTGGGTGTGGGTCATCTGCGCATGGCTGAGGCTGGAGAACTCTCTGCAGAGGCAAGAGGGCAGCTGATGGCGCCTCCTAGTCTCCCATCCACGGGACTACTCCGGGTAGAAGAGCTGGATCAAGGCCTTGGTGGAGATCAGTTTCACACCCTATCGTAGTCTCTCTCCAGCTGACTTCTATTGGCCACACAGACCCTCCCTAGAACAGTGGGCTGGGCTGACAGAAGAGAGGGAAGCCCAGAAGCCCACCTTTGGAGACTGCCTTCCCGTAGAGTGTGAGGCTAAAGGTTGAGTAGCCTGTGAGGTCACTAAGCTAAGAAGCGGGTTAACACACACACACACACACACACACACACACACATACACACACACACACACACACACACACACACACACACACACACACACACACACACACACCGTTTATCCCCTCTCCCCAGTGCTAAGCATGTACTGGCCCAATCCTCCGTTAATGCTGGGCAACTTAGTTGGGCAGGCTCCTGACTTAGAGTTTGACCTTGATTTCTCACTGCGGTGTCCTGAGGGGCCACCTGTGCCTTCCTGCCACCCGTTTTGGGTCAGACCTGGGTCCACCCTCTGCTGTCCCCTGGAGAGCATGGGGCAGGCAGGGGATGCCTTTGCAGGGCCCTCAGCCCTCCAGCCCAGCCTCAGTGCGGTGACTGCCCACCCAGGTGCGGTGGACCAAGACGGCTGGCAGCGCATCCGACAAGTTCCAGGAGACATCGGTGTTCAACGAGACGCTGCGGATCGAGCGCATCGCCCGCACGCAGGGCGGCCGCTACTACTGCAAGGCGGAGAACGGCGTGGGCGTGCCGGCCATCAAGTCCATCCGTGTGGATGTGCAGTGTGAGTCGGAGGCCCCGTGGGGCCCGGTACCCTGCCAGTCCGTGTCCCTGTGGGCGACAGCTTCCGGGGGTGGGAAGGGGTAGGATGGAGAAGTGGAATCACGTCTTTGGCAATGGACACCTGTTTCCCCCAAACCCTTTCCTTAATTCCCATGTCACCCTCCTCCCACGGACCTTGATGCAGCCCTTTAAGGCGGGCAGGGCGTATTAGATTATAGTTCTTCCACAGAGCAGGAGAGCAGCTTCCTACGTGAGTTGAGGCCACAAGAGCGGCTCTGGGATTTCCCTCTCCATCACCCTGTGCCACTGTGGGCCTCGAGTCACAGCCCTGGCTGTACACTAGACTCTGAGGAAAGCTTAAGATTTTATTACCTATGTAGTGGGGAGGGGCCACAGGTCAGCCTGCAGGAGTTTGTTCTCCCCTACCTCCTGGGATTGGGGATCAAACTTCTGTCATCAGGCTCGGTGGGAGGTTCTTTCACCCACAGAGCCATCTCTCCTGTCCTCGGGAATGTTTTAAAAACTGCTGATCCTTTTGCTGGGTGTGGTGGTACCTCACACCTTTAACCCCAGCACTGGGGAGGCAGAGAGAGGCAGGCGGATCTCTACAAGTTCAAAGCCAGCCTGGTCTACAAAAACGAGTTCCAGGACAGCCAGGGCTATACAGAGAACCCCTGTCCCAAATAAACAAAAACCAAAACCAACGAAACAAAAACCCTGCTGATCCCTGGGCTCAACTTCAACTTCCAGAAGCTCTTGTGTGAGTGATAGGGAATGTGACCTGACATCAAGGATGTCTTAAGCCACCAGCTCAGTAATGGCTTATGTTTGCACGTGTGTAAGCACCATTGGTTTCCACGTGTAGTGTGTTCTGAAGGATCTAGACTAGGGCTGATCCAACCTGTGGTACGGACACCATATGTACCTACAATGGCCGCAAATACGACCCGGCACAAACTCACCTAAAACATTATCAGGTTTATTTTTCTCTTTCTTTTGTCATCCGATTTTGCAGTTCTCAACCATGAACTTTCTAGACTAAAACTTCATGTCCCACCCATCAAAACATTGGACATGCCTGCTAGGCAATTCCGTCATAGTCCCTTTCCAGTCAGTAACACCCCAGAGATGATCACCCACACTGGGGGTTCTAGGCATCAGCGCTAAAAAGGAGTTTCAGGTTGAGATGTGGCTATGGGTAGAGTTCTTGCTGAGCTTGCAAAAGGCCCTGGGTGTGACCCCCCCACACACACACTGCACAAACTGTGTGTGCCTGTAAGACCCAAGCTTGGGCCCTAGAGGCAGGAGTATTAGAAATTCAAGGTCAACCTCAGCTGCATAGTGAGTTCCAGATCAGCCTGGGATAGGTGAGACCCTGTCTCAGAAACAAACAAAACTAAACAAAACTCAAAAAAGCAACGACAAAAAGAAAGTCTCCGTATCATTTAAACAGAGCTGAATGCTACCCATCTGTCTGATTGGCCAATGAGGACGTTGAGGCCCAGACAGAAAAGGAAGGAACTTAGGCAGGTCGCAATACAAAATCACAGACAATGGGGGGGAGTTGAACTTAGCTTTCAACTTGTTTCCAGTCTACGGCTGCCGTTCCATCCTGTGAAATGTATAGCGCTTGAGGCCCCATACAGGTCCCTGGTAGGGAGCCCTGGAAACCATTAGATTCAGTCCCCTGCCCCTAACAGCTTGGCCAAGCTTGCCGAACGGAAGGCAGGCATCAGTTTCCTGTGTCTTCAGAGTGGCTCTGCTCTCCCCAAGGGTTTCAAAGATCCCGAGCCCCTGCTCTGAGGTCACCTCATCTTGACTTAGGGCTGGTGTCCTTTCAGACTTGGATGAGCCCGTGCTGACGGTGCACCAGACAGTGAGCGACGTCCGCGGCAACTTCTACCAGGAGAAGACGGTGTTTCTGCGCTGCACTGTCAGCTCCAACCCCCCTGCCCGCTTCATCTGGAAGAGGGGCTCTGACACCCTGTCCCACAGCCAGGACAATGGGGTTGACATCTACGAGCCTCTCTACACTCAGGTCAGGATGGACAGCTGGCTCCCCACACTCTTATACCCACGAGGGGCTGAGGCCTGGTGACGGGGACTCCCGGACGCTGGCCTGAGCTCCACAATTCAGTGGGAGGCACCTCTACTAGAGTTCGCACCGCCTGGGGTGAAAAGTCAGACAGTTAGAGAGGTCAGAGGGCAGGGTGAGTCCCAGACAGCGAACTTTTCCCCAGAGCATGACCGGATAGGAAAAAAAAAAAACCTTCCAAAGGACAAGCGAACCATCCGTGCCTGCTTCAGTGGCTGAGATGGAGACCCATGGGTGGATGCTACAGGAGGTGGGGTGGAAAGGCCTCTCTCAGTCCATGTTTCCCCACAGTTCCTGGGGATGGTGACAAAGCCATTCTGCTAGGGAGGGCTTTCCGAAGGGACTGTCAGACCCTTATGTGGCCCGTGGGCCTGTCCCATGTTATATGGGTTACAAGCCACAACAGTGTCCCTTTCTCATTCCTCCTCTTCCCAGAAAGGGACACTGAGGCCCTAGCCCTGGACGGTGTGCACCAGGACTGCCTCTGCCCCGGAGAAGCCCACGGAGGCCCTGCGGGGAGCATGGGCGCTTCCTCAGGGAAGATGGTGGGGGTAGGGCTTGAAGAGATAAGAACTAGAATAGGAATTGCCTGTCGTGTCTGTGGTGTGGGGTAGACACGTGGTCGTGGGTGACCCCCCAGAGACCCGACAATGTCCTCCTCACTCCGATGATCTTCTGTCATCCAGGGGGAGACAAAGGTCTTGAAGCTGAAGAACCTGCGACCCCAAGACTATGCCAGCTACACCTGCCAGGTGTCCGTGCGAAACGTGTGTGGCATCCCAGATAAGGCTATCACCTTCCGGCTCACCAACACCACAGGTACAGGCAAATCCCTGCCCACAGCCACTTGGACCCACTCCCTACCCTAACGCCCAGATCTCCCTCTCCAACATCCGTTCCTGGGTCTCCCTCGTCCCCGCCAGAGTGTCCCTGGCCTCTCCCTCTACCCAGGTTTTTTTTATCCCCCTCCTCTCCCTCTCGTTTAGCACTGGAAGTCTCCTGAGACCCAACCTCCTTGTCCCTTTAGCACCACCAGCCTTGAAGCTGTCTGTGAACGAAACTCTGGTGGTGAACCCTGGCGAGAATGTGACAGTGCGGTGTCTGCTGACAGGCGGCGATCCCCTCCCCCAGCTGCACTGGTCCCACGGACCTGGCCCACTGCCCCTGGGCGCTCTGGCTCAGGGTGGCACCCTTAGCATCCCTTCAGTACAGGCCCGGGACTCCGGCTACTACAACTGCACAGCCACCAACAATGTAGGCAACCCAGCCAAGAAGACGGTCAACCTGCTGGTGCGATGTAAGTGACCGGGAAGGGCTGGTGGGAGGTTGTGGGGCGCGCAGGGTCTCTGCCCTTCAGGGACTTGCCGGTGAACGGGGAGAGGAAGCCATCTGCGTGCCACAGAGGACGAGGTGTGTCAGGGTCTGGGATGAGGTGCTTCCCCTGCAATTCAGCAGTCTACCGCTTGGATCAAGAAGTAAATGAACAAGGTTGGAGCTCCCTGGCCACAGCTTTCTCTTCCACAGCACCTTCCCCATCAAAGATGAGCTATTTCCACCTCATTCCACTTGACCTTGAAAACCTGGGGTGGTGAGATCTTTCTGGACATCCATAGTTGTGGTCACCTCTCAGGGTGGCTCTGCAGCCTGCCCTGTCCAGCCCAGTCCTGATCTCTAAGCCACTGTTCCAGCATCCTGCCAAGTTAGCTCCCCGCCTATTAAGGGCTTGAACTGACTTCAGACAAGACCCACTTTTAAAAAGCATCCGGACCCTTAGTTTTCTAAACCATGTGATGTCATGCGATTGCGTACAAGAGCATCACTTTGGCTTTTTATCATTAAGAAAATCACGCAGGTTTGTTGTAAAGAATCAGGCAGTACAAAAGGGGGGTGCAGTTATTGCTTTTCCGTTTCCTTTGGATCCACGCTAGATAGAGCAGTTACCGAGTCTCATGTTCCCTTCTATCTCAGTGCTTTGTAGACACAAGGTTGAAAACCAAGCAGGGTGTGGTCAAGAAGGCTTTGGGGGCCACAAGTTAGACTGTTAGAGCCCCAGTTCCTTCCACAGACAGTGGGACAGGTTAGATGCACTGATCCATGTGTGACACCTGGGCCAGCACCCCTCACTGATGGAGTGTGCTGATTAATAATGCCTGGAGCCAGCACCAACCTCACTTTTCTGCATTGAGCTCTTTAAAGCTATTGAAGCTGTGCGGTGGTGGCGCATGCCTTTAATCCCAGCACTCGGGAGGCAGAGGCAGGCGGATCTCTGTGAGTTCGAGGCCGGGCTGGACCAACAGCCTCCAAACAATACAGAGAAACCCTGTCTCGTAAAACCAAAAAAAAAAAAAAAAAGCTATTAAAACACCCCTGAACCATTGGAGCCATTTCCAGACTGAAGTGTGTGTGTGTGTGTGTGTGTGTGTGTGTGTGTATGTATGTGTGCGCGTGCATACTCGTGCAGGTGTGTTGTGTATATGTGTGCATGCTCATGCGCGTGCAGGTGTGTGTGTGTGCACGCGCCACACACATGCAGGGGTGGGGTGCAGCCAGTTTGAGAGGAGCAGCTGGGGTGGGACATGAATACCTGTCCTCGGGGTCAGCCCCAGCCCTTCTCCGCTCCCCATCTCCTTGCAGCCTTGAAGAATGCCACCTTCCAGATCACCCCCGATGTGATCAAAGAGAGCGAGAACATTCAACTCGGCCAGGACCTGAAACTATCATGCCACGTGGATGCGGTGCCCCAGGAGAAGGTGACCTACCAGTGGTTCAAAAATGGCAAGCCAGCACGCATGTCCAAGCGGCTGCTGGTGACCCGCAACGACCCCGAGTTGCCTGCCATCACCAGCAGCCTGGAGCTCATTGACCTGCACTTCAGCGACTACGGCACCTATCTGTGCGTGGCTTCCTTCCAGGGATCACCGGTGCCTGACCTCAGCATTGAGGTCAACATCTCCTCTGAGACAGGTGGGAGCATTGGGAGCTGCGGGGAAGCCCAGGAGGCCCAAAGTGGTGTGTGTGGTACGGGGACACAGCAATTTACAAATGGGTGTCTAGAGGGAGGAGGGCATTTGTTCCACACACACACACACACACACACACACACACACACACACACACACACACACACACACGTTGGGTCCCTATCATAGCCAGGCCTTGGGGTGGAGTCGTGGGAACAGTAGATACCTCGTTCCTTGAACTTGGCAGGAACACAAACCTATTTCAGACAGGTCACGAATAAACGTTATCACCGCAAACTGTAATTTGAATGAGACCTGAGAGATGAGAAAGAGTTTGCTAAGCAAGAGAGAGCCAGGGAGGCCACAGAACCAGCCTGTGCAACATCACCACGGTGGGAGCACTCACTGGTTGTCTGGAGGGAGAAAGGGACAGGGGCTAGGAGAGCAGAATGGTACAAACTCAGAGAGGTCACCCTGGGGACCTCTCAGCCATGGAGGCTGGAGGTCTGAGGTCAAGGTTGGGTTCCTGACTGGCTGGTGGCATATTCTCCCTGCTCATGTCCTGGGCCGGATTAGAGGAGAGCCCATTGGCGTCAACCTTCAAAGGCCTGCTTCCAATACAGTCACATTTTTTTCAGACACTGGCATTAGGATGGCAACATATGGATTTTGAAGGGACAGAATGCATCCTATGACAGGCCAAGGTGAAACGAGTCAGGTCTTTATTGTTATTTTTTTGGTTTATCGAGACAGGGTTTCTCTGTATTGTTTTGGAGGCTGTCCTGGAACTCGCTCTGTAGACCAGGCTGGTCTCAAACTCAGAGATCTGCCTGCCTCTGCCTCCCGAGTGCTGGGATTTAAGGGGTGCGCCACCAACGCCCAGCCCAGGTCTTTATTTTTATAATAATTATTATAATATGATGAGTTGATAGTAGGATATTGAGTGCTCACTGTGTATTCTTAGGGAGCGTATGGTTCCTTTACTCACCTCTGTCTTATTTTATGGCGGCAGAGTCTTTTTCCATTACTTTACTCACTTATTTTGAGGGGATGTGCGCATATGGGCATGAACCGCGGTGCACATGTGGGAGCCGTTGGTGCTCTCTGTCTACCACGTGGGTCCCAGGAATCAAATCCGGGTAGTGAGGTTTGGTGCGAGTGCCTTTGACCCTGGAGTTATCTCACAGGCCAGTGGGGTAGCAATTTATCTTCTCATTTTGCTGAAGAAGAATCAACCCTTAGAAACTTAAGCTTGAGAAACTTAGCAAGCTGGGGTGAGAGCCCAGGCAAAGGTCTGTGCTTGGCACCGTAGGAAGATGGCATGAGGCCCACGGGCAGGGGTGATCGTTGGACGAGGGCTCCAGGACCTTCTACTGGGAAGCTAGCTGATCATGCCTGGTGGGTCATGTGACGAGTACAATGCCAACTCTGGTCGTTATGAGTATTTCCTCCTTTGGCACTTAAACTCTGGTCTCCATTTCTCTCGGTGGGCAATTAGACCCAGTGGCCTCAGAGGACCCTCCCATCCCCCACATCTGCACACAGGGAAGCACAGAATTGCAGAGTGTAGAAGAGGCTTCTAAAGGGAGCCGGGCTTGAGCAGGACCTTGGAGTGGATGGGAACTCTGCAAAGAGCACATACGCATTTTGCCATTTTGCAGAGCACTTCATGCGAAGCTGTGGGAGGCTAAGAACCCAGACTCCAGCACTCCAGGCGCCTGCCTCAGATCTCACTGTCTGGGCGTGGGAGCTAGGGCTGTTAGGAGAAGGGAGAGAGCAGGGGAAAGGCCCGAACTCTTGCCTAGGAGTCTGTAAAGGAGACGCTAGCAAAGGAAAGCCAAGCTGCCTAGGAAGCCAGAGAAGGTGGTGGGTTCCATGTGCGTCTTGGAGGGTGCTGTGGGCTCTGCCAGGTGAGGACATAAATCCAGGAGGGGTACAGCAAGAAGAAAGCCCTCAGGGGCCCCACAGTGTAGGAGACTAGGTGTGTCTCGGGGTAGGTGAGCGGATTCCTCACAAAGGCGGCATGCAGATGGGAGTTGAGGCTCGGGTTGATGGAGGGCAGAGTCTGAGGGTTTCTCCTCAGAGGCTAGTACAGAGCTTTAACCTGAGGACATGTGGTGGGGGACATCTCTTCATCGTGGGGGGCCTGGAGGTGTCTGGCTGAGGGAAGCGGCCTAAGGCTGCTTCTGCATTTGGCTCACAGATCCAATGCCTGGAGCACAGAAGCCTTGTAATCGCCCCTGGGAACAATTTAAACCTGGAGGGGGGAAAAACGGGGAATGAACTGGCTCCAAAATAGGAAGATAAAGCCGTGATATGGAAGCCAACGGATGCACAGATGTTGGCAGGGCACAGTTTATATTAACGGGATATCTGGACCTTCGCCTGGTTTTTATAGTTATTTACAAATAGTTGCTTTATATCTAATTATTTTTAATGTTCAACGCTTGACATTTAATGATAAAATGTTGGACGTGGGTTAAGACCCAGGGAGGTCTTCTCAAAAACTCCATTTGGCAGTGTGCTGGGGCGGAGTGGGTTCAGCTGTGAATAACAGAATTCTAATTAATAGTGATTTAAGCACTGGGGTGTGGCTCAGTGGCAGCGCCACTGGCTTAGCGTGCTCAAGGCCCGGGGTCTGTCCTGCATGCCGCACACAGACTAGTGTGTTACTTCCCTGTGGGGAAGGCTGGCTTAGGATAGCCACTGGTCCCCGGAAGTCCTCAGGACTCCACCTAAGTGTAGTCACCTCCTCCACGATGGCCCTTGCACTGGCAAAACCAGTGATCTGCATTTGAGCTGCAGGAGGACCTTTATTTTCTTTAATATCCCATTGGGCCAGCATTCATTCAGAGGCATGCTGGGAAATGTAGTCTTTATATTCTGGGAGGCTGCCCTTCCGAAACCAGGTGTCCTTATTACTTCGGAAGAACTGCTTGCTGCAGGATGTCAAGAGGGAGACTCAATGTGGTGTGCTGATACCGCAGGCAAGAAAAGCTGGAGAGACGGCTCAGGGATTAAGGGCATTTGCTGCTCTTGTAGAGGACAGGAGTTTGGTCCCCAGCATCCGCGTTGGAAATCCAGGGGGGGTGGGGCGGCGGCTCACAACCGTCTTGTAACTCCAGTTCCCAAGGACCAGGTGCCCTCTTCTGGCCTCCTTGGGCAGTGCATGCATGTGTGTATACACATACATACACACAAATACACAGAAAAATATATACGCAATGCTGAAGGGCCAGAAGTAGAAGGACTGGAAAGGAAGAGGTTTAAAATGCTTGAGAGCCCAAAGCAGGAGGATGAGTTCAAAGCTAGCCTCGGCTACTTAGTAAGTTCAAGACCGGCTTGGGTAGCCTACAGAGGTACTTTCTTACCCTCCGGCACGTGCAAGAAGGGAAAAGAAAAGAAGGAAAAGCAGGACACCCTGGTACGGATGTTAGGGAAGGGGAATGGTGAGGCTGACTTCAGGGCTCTTTCTGAGCTGGGGGAGTCCGAGGTGGAGATGAAATGTGGGGAGTGGAGAGGACCGGGGAAGGCCATTGCACTGTGCTCTGGACATTCCAAGGGACCGTGGGACCCACGAGAGCCCCGTGTCAGAGACCAGGGGTCCCTAACTTCCGTCCACCCCTCTCCATCCTCTTTCAGTGCCGCCCACCATCAGTGTGCCCAAGGGCCGTGGGGTGGTGACCGTGCGCGAGGGCTCTCCTGCCGAGCTCCAGTGCGAGGTGCGGGGCAAGCCCAGGCCACCGGTGTTGTGGTCTCGCGTGGACAAGGAGGCCGCCCTGCTGCCCTCGGGGCTGGCCCTGGAAGAGACCCCGGACGGGAAACTGCGGCTGGAGCGCGTGAGCCGCGACATGAGTGGCACCTACCGCTGCCAGACGGCTCGCTACAATGGCTTCAACGTACGACCCCGGGAGGCTCAGGTGCAGCTGACAGTGCACTGTGAGTCCCCTCCCCAGACACCCAGCCTAGGCCAACCCCCACCCCTCCACCTACTGTTTGCACACCTAAAAACTTGGTGATCCCTCCACCGAGGCACAGAGAAGTAATTTGATTCGGTTTGCACAGCAAGGCTTGGATTTGAACTAGGTCTAGGGACAATGCTCTAAGCTCCATGACTGTGCGGTCTTCCGTTACGTTTGTAGGGGGACCCACTGAGGCACAACCAGAGGCCCCAGTCTGGGAAGCATGGCTGGAGGGCAGTCTGAGCTTGGCTGTTGTATGACTGAGTTGCGAGTGTGTATCCGCCCTGAGATCCTCCCAGGTCAGGGTCACGGGACTGGGGGACAAACAAGCCTCCTCCTCCATTGCCCTACTGACGGCAGCCCTGGTCCCCAGTCCCACCAGAGGTGGAGCCCAGTTCCCAGGACGTGCGCCAGGCGCTGGGCCGTCCGGTGCTCCTGCGCTGCTCGCTCCTGCGCGGCAGCCCCCAGCGCATCGCCTCGGCCGTGTGGCGCTTCAAAGGACAGCTGCTGCCCCCTCCACCTGTTGTCCCCGCCGCCACCGAGGCCACCGATCACGCCGACCTGCGCCTGGACACCCTGACCCGTGACAGCAGCGGCAGCTACGAGTGCAGTGTTTCCAACGACGTGGGCTCAGCCACCTGCCTCTTCCAGGTCTCCGGTGAGCGTCTGGTCGGCCCCACCCCTGCCTGCCCACCCACGCCCACCCGGGACCAGACTCCGCCCCCCGCAACCCTGCCACACCTGCCTGGGCATCTCTTTCCGGCAGTCTTAGGCATTCGTCCTTCCAAGACCCGCCCATGCCAGGTGTAGCCCCCGCCCCGTGGAGCCCAGATCCAATCCTTGACCTCCTCTCGAAGGCCGGTCCCCTCAAGATCACGCCCTGTGCTCCGCTTTCTCCTTCAGGCTGCCCCTGCTGAAGGTTCAGTTCCTCCCTTGGGTGTCCTACAGCCACGCCCCTTTCAAATCCAATCTCTGCAAATTACCACGGTAGATTTAGACGCCATCAGCCTCACCCAGCCCTGTGCCGCTGTCCCTCCAAGCCGGCTCACGCTCAATACCTGGGCCCAGTCCCATCTCAGCCATAACTCTAGCCCTTCGCCCGTGGTTCCTGGCCCCGAAGTCCTCGGCCTCAGAGGCTGCGGATGGGGAAAACCATTGGGAACCCCGCTCGTAGCTTGGAGGGTAGAAGATACTCCTAAAACACTGGGGGATGTCGGGGTGAGGCTGGACTAGCCAGAACACAATCCCTCCAGTCTCCCCGCCACCCTAGAAATGCAAGCTGCTGGGTGCTCAGACAGCCTTCCCAAGCTCGCTTTTGCATCGGGCCCAGGGGGCTGCTGATGGGCCAGGAGTGGGGGGCAGAGAGGCTGAGCGGGCCAAGGGCAAATACAGCTGCCTGGGTGGCCAGTGGTCTTTTGAGAGCCACCTGCCTGCCAGACCCGGTGGCAGTGAGCCTGCCTGGGAGACCTGTCTCCCTGCCGCCTGGCACCCTCAGATTTCTCATCGGCCCCTGCAAGGCACAGGGTGCCCCCTTCAACCCTCGTACCTCTTGGATCCCCCTCAATAGCAGAGCTCGAGCTGCAGGTCACTGGCCACCTCCCCCCCCAGGTCTCTCCCCACCCACTCGGCTTTGCCAGCCAGGGGCCCCTGTGACATTTCCCACCTCCTTCCCGCCCCCGTTCCCCCGCTTTCCCCGGCTCCCCACCTCTTCTCCTGTCTTTCCTCTCTATATGCCTGACCCTCGTCTTTACCGATCTTTCCTCCTTGGCCTTTCCCTCTGTTCTCACCAACGCGCCCTCTTGGATTTACAACCTCCCCGCCCTCCTTCTGCCCCACCCCTTACCGCACCCCTCTCCTCCCAACGCCGACTCTCCTCACGACACCCCTTTCTCTTTGTTGCCCCCACCTCTGACCACCCCCCCTCCCATGGCTCCTCTCTCCGTGTCTCTCACCTCCACCCTCCACGGCCCCATGCCCCCCCTCCCTGCCCTCTCAGCCAAAGCCTACAGCCCGGAGTTTTACTTCGACACCCCCAACCCCACCCGCAGCCACAAGCTGTCCAAGAACTACTCCTACGTGCTCCAGTGGACGCAGAGGGAGCCAGACGCCGTGGATCCCGTGCTCAACTACAGACTCAGTATCCGCCAGGTGGGCCGGGGCGTGAGGTGAGGCCAATGGGGGGCACGGGGCGTGGTCAAGGGGGTGTGAGGCGTGGCCAATGGGGGTATGGGGTGTGGTCAAGGGGGCGTGGTACGGCAGCGGGTCCTGGAAATAGGGAAGGGGAGGAGTTACCACCGGGCACAGCCCCTCCCCAGAGGAAGAGTCCCAGCCAGAGCTGGGAGCCTTTGAGCATGCGGGGCCCTCTACACAGTCCCTGGGCACAGCTGAGAACCAGACACAAGATTTCTGGGTGCGGGGCAAGGCCAGTATAGCGCTCAGAATGAGCATTTGCTCGGGTGTCCAGGGCCGAGGGTAAGGGCTCTGTGAGACAGAGCCCAGTCTGTGAGCTTCTCTCATGCCTGCCTGGCCCGATCTATGCCCACGAGGCAGTCGTGGGAAGAGAAGACCGTGGCCCTGGGGACAGGGTCTGGGGAGGGCAGAGTGTCTACAGAGTTTAGCAAGCTTACAGTTCTTTTGACCCTCGTTTGCTCGCCTGTGAAGAGGGGCAACGTCACCATTTCATGCTAGAGGACTGTTGTTTTGAGTTATGATGCCTAAGCACTTTATAGTACCACTATATATCCTTGGTATGGTGGCAGCGCTGGAAGGGGGCCCGGAACAGCACATTGTTCCATCTCACAGATGGCGAAACTGAGGTGCTGATGTCCAGACCTCCGCTCTTTCTTCTCCCCTGAAGCATTCCAGGGCCTGGGCTGCCCCTCCAGGGGAGGCTATGGCCTGCTGGGCATCTGGGCATTCTCCTGTATCCACAGTTGAATCAACACAATGCCATAGTCAAGGCCATCCCTGTGCGGCGTGTGGAGAAGGGGCAGCTGCTGGAGTACATCCTGACTGACCTGCGTGTGCCCCACAGCTATGAGATCCGCCTCACACCCTACACCACCTTCGGGGCTGGTGACATGGCTTCCCGAATCATCCACTACACAGAGCGTAGGTGGTGGTGGTGGTGGCAGCCCTGGCAGTGTCAGGAGGTGTGGGCCCATCGAATGTACCCCTCCTAGACAGCCCTGACCCTGGGGCAGCCCGCTGTGCACACATACCCCAGCATTGCAGGCTGGGCCTGCCGGTCCCCAGTCCTGGCTCCGAAGGCCCCGCCCCCACCCCGCCGTCCCGACCCCCAGCCTGGACATGCTTGGCATAGCCACACACCTCAGTTCTGACTCAGTTTCCTTGCTTGTTTTTTCAGCCATCAACTCGCCCAACCTATCAGGTGAGACCCCAGTCCTTAACTGCCCCTGCTCGTCAGGGACACACAGGCTCTCTGGATGGGACATAGGGACTTTAAGAGATATCACAGAGAAAGATCACTTCTTCCAGTGTTTCCTTGGAGAAGGGCCAGCAACAGAGGATGGGAAAGGAGACACTTTGCAGACTTTGTTCTGGGCGGAGGGCACTGTCTGCCAAAGGGATGGAAGGTCGGGCTGTCCTAACTTCATCTGTTTCTGAAAAAAAATCCCCTAAACAAAAAGCAACTTAGGGGAGACGGGGAGCAGGGTGCTAATCTGTACTGCTGGGCTCCTGGGAGAGACCTCTGTCTGAGTCAGAAGAGGGGCAGGGTTATTTATTTATTTTCCCTGCCTCTGACGGAAATTTAACAGCTCTTTAATGATGAGGGTAGACAACACGCCACAGCAGAGTAATCAGTACCTGTTCCTTTGTCACCGGCAGATAGCCCGTGTTTTCCCGTCGCCTTACCGTTGTTGCAGACATCTGTAAATGTCACTTTCGTTCATTAGTATTTCAGAGCCACAGTAGTTATTAGACCTAACGCTAGATCTTGTGATTTAATTATGTAATAAAGAGGCCCCCGTTATTATATAACGGATTACAAGAATATTTTGACAACTGTATTTCAATATAATTGATTTCCTTTGGAGTCCTTGTGTATTTTATTGTATGTGTCTAGAATCATTACTGTGAAAGGAAGTCTGAAACCAGAAGGCATGCAGTTCTTTACCTGAATAAATTTGTCCCGGACCCCACTGCCTGTCTCTCTGGCCCTGAAGCCCTGGCCCCAGATGTGGATTATTTAAAGCTGTTTAGGGATGATCGGGGGAGAGCAAGGCTAGACGAGGGGGCTGAGGCTGAGACTCTTTGTCCCACCCCCTGTGCCCTCCATGCAGACAACACCTGTCACTTCGAGGATGAGAAGATCTGCGGGTACACCCAGGATCTGACGGACAACTTTGACTGGACACGGCAGAACGCTCTTACCCAGAACCCCAAGCGCTCTCCCAATACTGGTCCCCCTACTGACATCAGTGGCACCCCTGAAGGTGAGGACATGGCCTCTTGTTAGGAATAGAGGATGGCCTCTGGGAGGAGTCTAGGCCTACGGGCCCCAAGTCAGAGTGGAGAGAGACACAAACGATCCTCGGGGAGCCTGTGAGGGAGACAGAACTCTGACCCAATTGAAGATCAGAAAGGAAGAAAACTGTCCGTAGGGCTGGGCACTTCTGAACCTGGAGCAGAGCCCTGCGAGGCTGAGTGAGGAACCTTGGTGGGGATGGCCTTGGGCAGCTTGTGCTAGGTCTGAAGACCAAGCAGGGAGGAAACGAGCTGTACGGAGGCTGCGTGACTGAGGAGAGGTTGCCCCCCCCCCCACTGCAGGCTATTACATGTTCATTGAGACATCCAGACCCCGGGAGCTGGGGGACCGTGCGAGGTTGGTGAGTCCCCTGTACAACGCCAGCGCCAAGTTCTACTGTGTCTCCTTCTTCTACCACATGTATGGGAAACACATCGGTGAGTTGGAGACCATGATACCGACAGTATGAGCTGCCTGGGGAGGATGAGGGAGAAGGCTCAGGACTTCCCAAGGAGTCCTATGCTTCTCGGGTGGGCTAACCTAGGAGTGGGGGCGGGGGGCTGCGGGCCACCCGTGCTGAGGATGGAGAGTACAGGTTAGCTGCGTGGGTTGTGTGTGGATTGCTTGCCAGGTACTGGGAATCCACATAATTGAGAGGGGTTAAGCATTTCCTCAAGACCACATAGCACAGCAGGTCTGGTGTCCCCGGGTCTTAAAACACAGCACTGGAAGGGTCTCTGAGCCTCGAGGGGAAGTGCTGCTTCCTAAGCGTGAGACTCGCTTAAGGACCACTAGAGGAGGAGAGGGGTCAAGTAAGCATCACTTTTCATCCGTGAGCCCACCAGCCAGCATCAGTAGCTTTGATGCAGGAGATGGGCACGTCCCCAGTCCTTCAGCCTAGGGGGACAGGCAAATCTGACTGCCAGTGGCATCCGGTGGGAGTTAGCGGCCACTGTGTTAGTGGAAGGTCAGGACCACGCACAGCAGCAGGGTGACAAGGAAAACAGCGTCCACCTGGAGGCTGGGCTTGGGAGATGGCCCAGAACACGAGGATTATTTAATGTGCTGCTTATGCCGGGTGTGGCCGTGTGTGCCTTTGATCCCAGCCCTCGGGAGGTGGAGGCAGGGGTCAGTGTGAGGCCTGGTCTACACAGCCAGTTCCAAGCCAGCCAGGACTACATAGTGAGACCCTGTGGAAGAGCGAACGTACTTTACAGGGCTGAAAGTCATGAGTGAGGTGCGCACCTCCTCCAGCCTTTCCTGGTCCCACCAGACGGCAGTGCACGGTGGCGCCTCTCTCTCCCCTCCGTTCTATACGGTTTCTATACTCACCATTTCCCTCTGCGCCATCCATCATCCTGGCAATTCTTCCTTATCGGTCCACGGAAGCTTCCTCGTTGCCCTTGCATGCTCCCTCCCCCTGCACAGCCGAGGGAGTGAGTTTAAGGTTCACCCTGAGGAAGTTTCCACTCAGAGGGAAGTGGGTGGTGCCGGACGGATGAACCAAGGATGGGGTGAGACAGGAGTTCCGCCCCAACCATCTACAGACCAGCCCTGCACCTGGGTCTGGACTCTGAGACGGTTCACCTCTGTTGAGGAATGCGGACGACCCTGGCTTCCACTTAATGTCAGAGCAGTTGACTCATTCTGGCTTCCCTAGTCTTAGTGGTGGGTCACCATCAGCTTGGAGCGGTCCTGGGCATCCAGGTGTCAGGGGGGACACAGAGCGTATAAGCCTGGGGGATTAGGGAGGCAGAAAGCCTGAGGTGACAGGCTCTGTGACACACAGACCTTGCTGTGGGCTTCCCAGGGGTGGAACAAACACTGGGCAGTAACGTCTTCAGAGGGGGGCAGCTTTGGGCCTGCTAAGGCGGCCTCTCATCGTCAGACATGTGGGTCAGGAGTGGGCTATTCCAGAGGCGAAAGGGCACCCCACCCACAGACAGAACTGTCCAGCTGTGGAGAGACTCCATCCCGGGCTATGCAACTCCTCTGCCCAGGACCCCCTGAGCCTTCCTGTCGCCATCTTCAGGTCTTCTATGCTGGACACAGCTCTAACCCCTCTCTGACCTTGTTTGTTGACACCCGAAGCTGCTGACACCCCATCCCTTGCTGGAACCCTCCAGGCACATTCCTGCCTCGGAGGGCTTTGCTCAGAGGGGCCTCTCTGGCCTGGAATGCTGCTCCCTCCTCCACTCAGGCCTCCCTGGGGCAACCCATCACTAGCATACTCAACACAGACTCTCTTCCCTTCCCTCCAATTACTTTTTTGTCTTGCGTGTGTGACTGGGGGCGGGGCTTGCGTATGCACAGGTCTGCGTGTGCGTGCACCTTCATGTGGGGTGCAGAGAGCAACCATCCGGCACTGCCCCACTGCCAACTTCCACCTCGTTTGCGTTTTGTTTTGTTTTGAAGCAGGGTCTTTTTATGTAGCCCAGGCTGGCCTCAAACTCACAGAGATCCGCCTGCCTTGCCTTCTGTGTACAGGGAGTAAAGGCGTGCGCCAGCCTTAGTTTTTGAGAAAGGGTCTCTCACTGAACCTGGAACTCACTGATTCCACTCAAGAGACGGAGTAGCAGTTAAAAAACACCTACTGTTCTTGAAGAGGACCTGGGTTCAATTCCTGACACCCACATGATGGCTCAAAACGGCCTGTAACTCCTGTTTGGGGGCATCTGATGTCCTCTTCGAACCTCTGTTGGCGGCGTCAGACACACTGTGTGGTACAATACAGATACACAGGCCAATACAATTGTACACATACAATAAAAATGAATGATTCCTTTTGAAAGATTGCTTTTGAGACAGGGATTCACGTAGCCCAAGCTAAACTCAAAAAATTGTTTTGTAGTTGAGGGCTTGTAAGGACCCTGATAAACACTGGAGCCAGGGTGGCCATTTCCTGTTCTGCTGGGACAAGTAGCAGCTCTCTTAGGAGCCCATCCCTGACTGATGAGGCCTTGGCAGCCTTGGGCCGTTAGCATGACCCCCAGACCTGGCTTTGCTATGTAACCCCGCCCCCCCCTACACACACAGGCACTGAGCCTGGCAGCTTTGGACACCAGCTGTCCCTAAACTTTGTGTCTCATCAGCTCTTCTTGGTCCCAGCCAACTCCTTTCATCCAAGGCAGGTAACATTTGGTGACTCTCCCCCAGCAGGGGGAGGGAGATGTCTGTCTATCTGGCGTCACAGATGGTACAGCTTTGTGTGGCCAATGCCACGGAAATGCCAGCCACCAGGCGCCTCGGAAGATGGGTTTCCCTTTCCTGCAGAGCCGGGTCTCTTGTGCCATGGGTGTGGCCAAGAAGGGCTGAAAGAGACATCCAGGGGATGCGTATAGCTCCTATGTGACTTTTAGTCAGCTGCCCCCTGCTCCTCCCCTAGTGCCCACCCAGTCAGCACTCCTAGGATCCCAGACCCCCAAGGCTGCAACAGACGGTTAGCACCCCTAGACTAGTGCCCTTCAGATCTGCCCTAATTGTATTCACCATAGCATGTGGCCCTCAGATGTGTCCCTAAATAAACTTGTCTATGTTTCAGTGTTGTTTTTTTAGCTTTGTCCTAGCATGTCTTAGAAAGAGCATTGGCTCAGAAGGCTAGCTAGCTTTACCCGATGCATAAGACATCCAAATAAGGTGCTGGGGAGATGGCTCAGCGGGAAAAGTGTGCCATCCAAACACAAGGACCTGAGTTCAAATCCCCAGCACCTGTGGAAAAGCTCAGTGGCAGGGCACATCTGTAACCTGATGGGGGTGGGGAGGTGGGGACCAAGATGGGCAAATTCCAGGGGCTTGCTAGCAAGCCAGCTGTCAATCAGTGAGCTCTAGGGTCAGTGTGCAAAAAGACTTCTAGGAAGATGCCTGGAAGATGCCTAATGCTGACCTCTGGCTCACACACACACACACACACACACACACACACACACACACACACAAAAATAAGTATCTCTACATAGAATTTTTTAAACTACACAAATAAATTAAAAATGGTAAGTCCCCTTCTGCACCCCACTAACCACATGCCTGCCATCTGGGTGTGCACCTGTGCTCTGGGCATCCTGACTGAGCCGAGGTGAGGGGTGTGCCTGTTCTGGGATGGTTTCCCTCCTGGATGGGGATGGCAGGGTGTGTGTGTGTGTGTGTGTGTGTGTGTGTGTGTGTGTGTGTGTGTGTTAGACCTGACTCATTGATTACTCAGAAAATAAAGGAGGGAAGAAAGGAACAGTGCAAGCTGGTCTGGGGACAGGAACGGGTCCGGCGAAGCAGGGCAGTGATGAGAGAGGGAGAGGCCGGCTCTGGAAGACGAGAAGGCGGGGATGTCATTGCCAACCTCACCAGGCTCTCTGTCATCCTGCCACAGGCTCCCTCAATCTTCTGGTGCGGTCCAGGAACAAAGGCGCTCTGGATACACATGCCTGGTCCCTCAGCGGCAACAAGGGCAATGCGTGGCAGCAGGCCCATGTGCCCATCAACCCCAGTGGGCCCTTCCAGGTGAGTCGCCGGTGAAGGCTGCCCCTAAGGCAGGTGGCTGTCCTGGCCAGTGCAGGGTCCTGGGGGGTTAAGGCAGGGGATGGGGGCTTCCAGGTAGCCTGAGGTGAAGGGGCGGGGATGCTCTGGTACCAGGCCCAACTTCCCCAACCCTTCCCCCACTCTCTGACCCCACCCCAGATTATTTTTGAGGGGGTTCGAGGCTCGGGCTACCTGGGGGATATTGCCATAGATGATGTCACACTGAAGAAGGGAGAGTGTCCCCGGAGACAGATGGATCCCAACAAAGGTATGCGACTTGAAGTGGATGGGGGATGGGGCAGGAGGGGGCTGCTAGGGCGGGGTTTAGGGTGTGTGGGTGAGGAGAACTATTAATGAGTGCCCACTTGGGCACCACCCTGAGTCAGCCTAGGAGGAAAATGGAGGACTGGAAGAGGCCACGGGCCCTGCCTCCCCTCAGCTGACTGACTTGTCTGTAGTATGTGCCTGTGGTCCGGGTGTTTCCAGTACCAAGAGCTCCAGCTGACTGAGCAATGACCGTGTACCAGGCACGGGACAGAAAGCTTAGTGCTCCTGGCAATTCCCCAAGATATCAAATACTGTTAGACCCATTTTGTAGGTCAAGAAACTGAGGCCCACTGAAGCCAAGTCCTTTGCTCTGTGAGCTTGAACAGCAGCATGCTGAGTTAACCCTCAAGAGTGTGGACTACCTGTGTGAACTGTGTGCAAACTCCTACCTTCAGGCTCCCTTTACCCCCTGAAGAGAAGCAGAGACGTGGGGCCTCTCTTGCCTGTCTCCCTCCCTCCCTCCCTCCCTGCACCTGCTGGAGCTAACCAGAGCCTGGCCTGTCTCCCCTCTATCTCCTGTCACAGTGGTGGTGATGCCAGGCAGCAGAGCCGCCCGCCTGCCCAGCCCGCAGCTTTGGACGTCCGTGACCATCTTCCTCCTGGCGTTGCAGAGATGATGAGGGCTGTGTGGTCCCCCCACCCCACCCCGCCCCCGGCACACCAAAGTGTCCCACATCGTACCAAAGACTGACTCCTGCCAGCCGGGGTGCCCAGGGGCGGGGCCGGCCCGCCCCACCAGGGAGGGGGCCTTCATTGGCTGCAAGAATGGGCGAGGAACACGGACAGAGGCCAGGCCAGGCTCTGATGGTTGTTCAACACACGCACACACGCACACACTCGCACACTCACACACACAGATATATTAAAGCACAAGTTTCTATCCAACCTGCCAGCACCTTCTTTACTATGGAGACAAGGGATTCACCCGAATGGCGTCCCCTCCTCCAAGGACCTCGGTGCCACACTGGTCTCATCTTGGCTGCGCTGCACTGTTTCTGACCTTGTCCTGTCCCCTGACTCAAGGCCGAACTCCAGCCCAGAGGCCTGCCAGGAGGGAGCCGGGTGTGGGCAGACTCAACCTTGTGCTGTCTGGGTGGGGCTCACCGGGATCAGAGGCAGGCTGGCTGGGACTCTGCGAGCTCTCTGACGGTCCCTTGGTCAGAGGCTGAGAAGGAAAGGGTTACCTGCTGCAGGCAACGGTCCCCGGAGTGTGGAGACAGGTTGGACAGTTGAGGCACCAGTCAGCTCAGACCCCCTTCCCTGTCCCTGAGATGTCATATCCCCCTCCACACTGGGCCCAACTGGAAGGGACCCAGCACAGGGCTTAGGGTATGGGCAGCGTGAGGACCCACCCCCATCCTGCCCCACTGCATAGTCCCAGCTCGGGACTCCTGGAGACGCTGGTGGTGTGAGGAGTGCTGTCCATGCCTTTTCCCAGGTGGGGCCAGGCTTTGTCAGGGACACGGAGCCCTGCCTCTGCGGTTCCGCGTTCCCACAGGGAACAGTGAGCTCACGAGGGGAGTGGATCCCCCGTTTCTTAGGTCCTTAGTCTGACAGGGAGTTAAGCCGCCGTCTGGTCAGCTGTGGAGCGCTGGGGTAATGGATGGAGGTGGCTGCGTCTCCTTGTTCCCTGGGAGCTGGGAAGAGCTCTTTGTCCTTGGACATTGAAACGGATGGGATAGGGTCTAGAACTTTCCTCTTTGGTCCCCTTCGTCCCCCCCCTCCCCAGCTTCCATGGGAGAGCAGAATTCTAGCCCCTTCTAGAATGATTGCACGCACACGTGGTGTGTTTGTGTGTCCGTGCCCGAGTGCGTCTGTGTGTGTCTGTGCCTGAGAGTGTGTGTGTCCATCCGTGTCTGTAGCACTGTGCACATCTCTGGGTGATTGTGTGCAGGAGTATGAGCCCGAGCACAAGCCTAGTCTCTGTGGGTGACCGTCAGTGTGCACTTTTCTTCTTAATGACGTCATCATCATCATCATCACCATCATCATCACGGACTGCTGGGTTGTCAGGCCAGGCTACAGTTAGACCTTCTGGTACCCAACCAGCGTGCCTGCCTTCCTGGCCTCCTCAAGGCTTCTGTCTGAAGAGAGTTGCTCTGGTTTCCAGAACACGCTTCCGTGGCATCTGCTGGGTGTTGCTCCTTAATTGTCCCATCTGTGCAGAGTCTGTTGACCCCAACTAGACTGTGAGTCTCTCCCCCTCTGAGCCCCTCCTCCGCTCTTGCTGGCATAAGGGAGATGCCATCCAACCAGGTGGGATGGATTCCATTAGCCAGTGGTCCTTGGCCCTGGCTATAGACCGACCCTCTAGGGGTCCCTGAGGGTGGGGTTGTGATCTAATGGTATCAGGATGCAGCCTGGCATTAGAAACACTGAGAAGTATCTTAGCACAACCCAGAGGGTAAGCTCAGATGCTCTCGACTCCAGGGTCTCTGGGCCAGTGCGGTGCTGGAGAAACAGCTCCATGCCTTCTTCTGTGGGGTTCCTACCCACCCTGTACCTGCTCCCCCACATCCACCCATTGTCCTGGCTGCTCTATTGGGGGGATCGTCTCCTGTCTCCTTTTCAGCTCTGTATCTCAGAGCCAGACACGGGAAAGGTGCACAGTGTGGGTTGGCCCCACATTCCAGAATCTTCCCTGTGGTGAGAGCAGCCATGCCTGAGGGTGTGTGGCCTGGGCTTACAACGCCTGTCTGCTAAGAATCCTATGCTTGGAGCGGGGGTGTGCACGTCTGTGCGAGCCCATGGCGTGCAGGGGCTGGGGTGTCCAATGCGTGTGTGCTGGAAGCACTTAGGTGTGTGCAGGGCTGGGAGCCTAAGTATGGCTAAAGGTAGGAGCTTTCTGCCCGTGGGTGCCTGTGAATCAGCATTCCTGTATGTGTCTTGTAGGTCAGCGTTGGGATAGATGACCTGTGACCACCGCAGTCCCGGGAGACTAGGCTGCCGGGGTCTAGCGTTTCTCTTCAGTGGCAGCCTCACCCTCTGTGTTGAGGGACAGAGGAAAATTGTGGCCTTAAAACAGGGATCCCAGAGTCAGCTCACAGGGTTCTGGGGCCCTCTTACCCCGGGCTCCTGCAGGTTAGTGTCTTTCAGGATGGGGGATTCTCAGCTTGAGGGTCCTACCCCCGGGGGCGGGACCACAGGTGAGCTCTGGGGATGTCATTCATCTGAAAACCACGCCCGCCTGCTCCTCCCGGCACATTCCCCCCATCGTTCCTCCTTTCCCATTCTCCGTCTTTCTCTGTTCTGTGGGAGCACCTGTTCAGGCTAGCGGGGGCCAGAGCGAGCCTCAGACACGCCGGCCTGTCAAGGCACAAATGCAGAGGCTGCAGTGGGGAGGGGCAGGGCTGGCTCAAGCCTTGGAAGCCAGTGCCGCAGCCCTGGGGGCCACTGCTCCCAGGAACCTCTCACCTGACTGACTAGCTACAGGCAGCTGAGTGGAACTGACCCTTCCTTCTCTCACCTGACTGACTGACTAGCTACAGGCAGCTGAGCGGAACTGACCCTTCCTTCTCTGGGTCCCATCCATGCTGCTGGGCCTGTCACACATGTGGCAGGTGTCATGGGGATTTTTAATTTTTTATATTTTGAGAAAGAAACCACCTCCCTGTCCTATTCTGGCCTCTTCTCCCAGAGCACAGTGACTCCCAGTCCGTGGACAGCACGGATGCCGCGTGGCAGCTGTCATTCTCTGTCAACACTGGCCGCAGCCACTGCTCCAGACAGAGGAGACTTTGTTTACCCTGCTGCCCGCTGCTGTCTGCACAGGAGGCTGGGCTGGGAACCAAGGCTAGCAGATGCTGGTGTTCTCATCCCCCTGACATCCTCCCCAGGACCAGGAAGGTGGTGAAGGACATGCAGTGTCCTTGGGTTTTCCTCTTCTTGCAGCTCCTTGGGGCTGGGGGTGGGGGTGGGTTTCCAGGGAATGTCCTAGGAGTGTGATGAGGTACCCTGTACTGGGGAGTTTCTACAGGCCAGTGGCTGAGCTCAGATTCTGGCTGCATTCTGTTCTGTCAGTTCTCTGTGTGTGTGTGAGCAGGTGTGCCTGTGTGTGTGTGTGTGTGTGTGCATGAGTGTGCATGTGTGTGTGTCTGTGTGTCTGCGTGTGTATGGGCAGAAGGACCACTCTTTTCAGAGATCTCTTGACCCTTAACACTGGAAGGGATCTTAGAGGCGTCTGACCCAGTGTGCCCGTTGAACAGGTGAGGAAACTGAGGTTCAGAGAGATGGCACCTGCCCATCCCCATCCCCCTCCCTTGCGTGTGTGGCCTGCCTTCATTGCCCAGGGCCCCTGTTGGAAATGCTCTCCCTCCTAACGCCTTCCTCCCTCCACCCAGACACCCTGTTTCCCTCCATCTCAGCCCAGTTGGGCAGGAGGGGGAGTGCTCCAGGGCATCCTCAGGCACCACCATCCTCTGCCCCAGGGCGGCTGCTCATCATGTCCTTATCCCCGGCCCATAAGGGACAGGAAAGAGGGACTGTTGGAGTCCTGGGGCCTCAGGGATGGGAGGAATCCCTTCCCATATGCCCAGGCCCATATGTCTGCCCTGCTCACCCTGCCACCGAGGTAAAAGCACAACAGGAGACCCCCACTCACGGGTGACATGCCTTGGGGTCGCCTTCAGTCTCACGACCCTGCCTCACCCCTTTGCCTTGCTCTCCGTCTCCACCCAGCCTCTGTCCCCCATCACCAATCTTTCTCTCTTCCACAAACCCCAAAATGTAACCTCTAGTTGCGGCCGCGGTTGTTTCAATCAATAAAGATGCAGTGTTCTAGAACTCGGGGCCAGCCTGCGAGTGTTGGGCTTAGGGAGGGAGAGAAAGGTGGTGGGCCGGGCAGGGGGGTCTTTCTTCTCTTTGCCACCTGTCACTGTGACCTAGACAGAGGGCGCCTGCGTCCTGTCTGCCCACAGTGACTCTCCTGTTCTATTCATCTGCTCCACAGACGCAAACACTGCTGTCACGTCCTGGAGTCTCCCCCCTAGTGGGAGAGACAGACACAGAGCTAAGGCTGACACCGAGAAGTATATCGTGGAAGCAGAGGGCTGTCAAAGGGAAATTGGGTTCGGGGCTTCAGGGAAAACATTCCTTTTTAAAAGAGACACTTAGTTAAGTGTGGAGCGTGCTTGCAATCCCAGAAATTGGGAAGCCATAGCAGGAAGATCTTGAGTTTGAGGACAGACTGGGCTACATCAGAATGAGTTCATGGTCAACCTAGTGAGAATTTTTCTTAAAATAAAATGTAATATATATATATACATATACATATATATATGTATATATCATGTGTTGTGGGGTTGTGGATGGAAGGTTCAGATGCCAGACCTCACATGGCTCTTGCTGAGGACCCAGGCTCAGTTCCCAAACATGGGGTGGCCAATAACCTCCTGGAACTCTATCTCCGAGGGATCTGGTGCCCTCTTCTGGACTCTGCAGGCACCTGCACTCACGTGTTGCATATACCCACACATAGACACACGTGTGTGTGATTAAAATATTTTTTAACGCTGGGGTATAGCTCTGTGGTAGAGCACTTGCCCCAAATCAGCACAGGTCAGCCTTTCCCATTGTCCAGGTGCCTCAGATTGCTCAGACTTCAGAGCTGTGAGGTCTCTCATGGTCACTAGATTCAGCTTCTTCCTTGGTTCCCCTCAGAAGTAGGCTTGCTAGGGTCACAGCAAGGACAGGCAGTGGCGAGGGAGACCATATTCCTGTGAGTCCTCAAGGAACGATTCCACATCTGGATGGGTGTCATGATGAGGACTGCGATGAGACCAGGCAAGCCGCAGGGAGACTCTGTCTTGTTCCTTGGCTGCAATAAGTGAGGTGTGTAGAGTCACCAGGCCCATGTTTCACACAGGGAAACTGAGGCTTCACAAGGCAACAAGCTGAGGACTCTCCGCCTCTCTGGAGCTTTATCTGTGCTCATCGGAGGCGCCTTCACACAGACACACCTGGCTAGAGACTCACAGCTTGGGTAGACTGACTCACGAGGAGCTAGAAGAACCAAACTCTCTAGAGATTCACACACATGCGCGTGCACACACACAAATGCACCAACCCACACATGCACGCACACACACACACATATGCACGCACACGCACGCATGCACAGGTACACAAAAGAGAGACAGATTCTGCAATGCCAATGTGAGTTGAGTGGTGACAGAGACAGTGTCCTGGGCTATATGGGATCCCTGGGCTCGAGGAAGAACTGATTGCTGAGACCATCCCCTATAGAAACTCCTAGCTCCTGCTGTGAGGTCAAGATGGCCAGCGATCCCTCCTTACACGTCTGTGGAGGCAGAGTCTGACTCCCTTCCCCTCTAGTCTGTACTGGTCGTAGTGATTTTTTTTTTAATACAACTGAATGTGACTTTCAAAGCTGCTTCAGCTCGGGCATCTTGGAATGTCCTATCCTGGAGCCACCTCACACCCAGCTCTACAGAGACTACCAGGAAGCAGGGGGTCCCCCCTGACCACCCCAGCAGGGCCTGGCTTGCCAACCATTTCCGCCAAAGCACCAGAAGATGTGGGAGTGGAGCCGTCTTGGACTCCGGACCAGCCATTACTCCAGCGGACGCAGCGCCAGATGCAAGACGCGTCCGCCCGAATCTCTGACCAGTTCATCATGGGACGGAACGTGACACCCTTGAGGTAGGGGCTAGTTCATTTGTTACAAGCTCCAGAGTTAACCCGGCCCGTATGATTCGTCATCTGTGTCCTTAACCAAGCGCATCCCACCCACGCAGTTCCTCTCCTGACTCATGACGGCTCCCTCAGAACTTCAGTCAACCAGCTATCAGGACCTCAGTTCCATTTCTCCCCCACGAGCTTCCTGTGGCAGCTGCCGGCTCCCACTGATTCAGCCTCTCGAGAGAAGTGGCTGCTGCCTGCCTGCTGTTGCGTGGCCAGCCACACACACACACACACACACACACACACACACACACACACACACACACACAGCTGAGCAACCTGTTGACTAAGCTGCCTGCTGTCACGTGCTACCTCTGATCTAATCAGCTGGGCTGAAGGAAGGCGGTCATGGGTATACGGCGTGGCTGCCGTTTTCTAGAGTGCTTGTGGGTCGCAAGGCAGGGTGCAGGCAGGTCTCGTAAGTCCTTCCTTTCCCGCCCTTCCCAAGGTGGCCATCCATTCCAGGGTCACTGTTTGTGGTGTGTGCGCCCTGAAAGTCTGACAGGTCACCAGCAGGTGTCAAAACCAGGATCCAGGCGGGTGAGGTCGCTGTAGTCCTGTTTGCTTATGTTACCTGGTGAGTGAGAGACTTCTGGGGAGGGGCAACATACACACGTCTATTCACCTCAGAAAGGGGACCCTCGACAGATCAAGGAGGCAATTGGACCCAATTTGGTGAAGCAATGAGGCTTTTGTTTGTTTTGGGGGGGTTACTAACAGGAGTGTGGGTGAGAGGTTTCTCAGAGGAGCAGGCATGACTCAAAAGCAGCTGTATCATCGGAGAGCTCACCCCAAAACTGGTGACGACTCAAGAAAGTTGCACCCCGAGAGCTCTGGGCACAGCTTCCAGGCAGCTCCCCTCTGCAGCGACTGGGTAGTCTCCCCTTGAGACTGTGTGCTATTTCCCTAAAGCTGGGGGGAGCCGGGGGGTTAGCTTTCCCAGACATGCACCCCCACTTTCCTCCCGAACCTCGTGGGCCTCCCCACCCCTCCTGGAGGGAATGTCGCAGTTCTGAGGAACGTGCCCCACAGTTGACTCAACTGTGTTAGTTCTGTAGACAGCCAGGTTCGGAAAGGTGAGGTAGTCACAAAAATTCATAAAGTTCAGGATGGGGGAGGGTCTGAAGAGACATCCAGAAGTTTGGCTTTCGTACGGCATCCCTCCTCAGCCTGATACCCGGCTCCGTGTTCCCTCCCGGGGCTTGTCATATCTTGCTAACCAGCTCATCCCCAGGCGCCCGCCGGGAGAAGCAGAGTCCTTCCCCTTGGGGCTTGGGCTCCAGCTTCTGCCTCTGATGGAATTGTCCCCTGCTTCTGCTTTTCTTTTTCTAGCATCCTGACCTTTTTGCATATGTCCTTTGTTGAAAGCTCTCCACTAACACCTTTTTTAGAAAGAGGCTGGGTAAAAATAAATCCAAGGAAAAAGCCAACACACTTCTCCTTGAAGTCACCTCAAACCCAGGCAGAGGCCTCCCTCCAGCCCGCTTCTCACACCTCCAGCTCCCAGATCCATCTTTCCTGGGCACACAGCCTGACTGCACCCAGCGTGGCTTCCTGCTCTGAGGTCAGCTTGGCAGCTCCCTCAGATGCAAACGCCTGAATCCATCATCGCCGCCGCCGGGACTCTTCAGGTCTTCTCTAAAGATGGCGGGGCAGGGTGTGGGCTTCATGCTCCTCTCAGGTGCCCTGAGGCTAGCGGGAGCTCAGGTGCGTGGATTCTGCACTGAGGAGCCCCACCCCTGAGAGATGAGACCAGAGCTGGACGTGAATGGGGGCAGGGCCGAGAGTGCAGCGTCCACACAGTGGGTGTTCTCTGTCAGCTGGAAAATACATGAATGAGAGAGAATGGCCGACTGGAAAACGGCATGCTGAAAACTACTTCATTCATGTGTGCAAATGTGTTCGTGTGTATGCAGGTGCACATGCGTGTTCATACATGGGCGGGTGTGCGTGCGAGGCCAGGGGACACCCTCAGGTGTCATTACTCATGCACTGTCCACCTTTTTGTTGCTGTTGTTTTTTTAAAGATAGGGTCTCTTGCTGGCCTGGAGGCTGCTCAGAACGTTAGGCTGGATGGCCAGAGAGCTCAGGCTCTCCTGTCTCTGCCTCTCCAGTGAGAGGGTCACAAATTCACATCACCACACTAGACTGGGGCGTGAACTCGTGTCCTCGTGGCTGCATAGTAAGTACTCAACTGTCTCCTCAGCTACCTTCTCATCTTTATAAAAAAAAATCTGTGGTGTTGTGGTGTATGTGCGTGTGTGTGCGTAATTGCATGCAAGCATGCATTTGTGCATGTATGTGCATTCATGCTTGTGTGTGCATGCATGCATTCATGTGTGTATGTGTGTGTGTGTGTGTGTGTGTGTGTGTGTGTGTGTGTGAACTCTGGTTATCACAATAGTGAAAGTTCAGAGGTCCTGAGTCACCTCTAGGCCTTCTGCATTGTGTGGATTCTTCTACATGAACACGTATGATTTTTAATAACCAAGAAGAAAGCATTATTTTCTTGAGAAAACAAAAGGCAGAAGTCACCAAGGGCTATAGATTAAAAGTAAAGGTCACCTTCTGTTCTTCGTATTATTTCCATAGCTTAGACATCACAGACTTTGGGAAGGGGCTTTGAACTTGAGATCTCTCCTTGCTGATTTATTCAGAGAAAAATACTCATGCAAGTGGAAGGCGGGGATAGGAAGAGTAGGAGGGGCCGAGCAGGGACAGGAAGTAGGGCTGTTGAGACAGGTTTTTAATTAATTAACTAATCAACTGTCTGAGTGTGTACATACGGGCACGCTATGCTTGTGGAGGTCAGGGAACACCTGCCGGGTGTCAGTTTCTCCTTCCATCACGTAGGACTGGGGATTGAACTCAGATCACCATGCTTGGTGGCAAGTACCTTTACCCTCTGAGCCATCTCATAAACCTCCCCTTGAGCCAAATAAGAGAAACCTCAAAGAGAATGCGCAAATTTCAGGGAGAAATATTAGCAGGTAGCGTTGTGTCCCAAGTGGCGTGCACGCATGTATGAGACACAGAGGGGACATGAAAGTGTGTGTGTGTTCGTGTGTGTGTGTGTGTGT